GTGGACGATTCTCAGCACAGAAGTGATACCAGCATAGATAAATGGAAAAGGAGAGTAGCTAATGCCTTATGGAGGTAACTTTCCCTGAGCCAGCCTTAAATCTAAACACAGTAAACACATATTGATAAAGCGAGGCTGTACTGTGTGAACAAAGCTGTCTGTGATAAAGTGACAGTGATACATTTATAGGTTGGTTAAACCATCCAGAGCACAAGCGAGGTGATAAAAGAACATCTCACTGTAATAAAATAATTTTCCATCCATGCTCTATGATAGCAGCGCTATCACACCGAACGTCCTCCCAGAAAAAAAAATAGCCTGAGAGAGAGGGAGAGTCTCTTTATCACTTCAAAGGAGTGCTTTAGTCTAAACGTAAGGTGAGGTGTCCAGGTTCAATTGGGAGAGGTCACTTGACTGGGCCGCCTCAGTACATAAATCTACTCCAGTCCAAAGAGAAGGAGCGAGACCTTTTTCTTTGCTTTGAGAGCATAGATAACTAAAGGAGCTGTGCAGGGTGAATACAGATGTGAATAGGATCCAAAAAAAGCAGATTCAGTATGCAGTGCTTGTCAAAAGTTTGGGGACACATTGAGTCCTTTTGCATTTTATTTCATAAACAATGTGTGGTTTTCGCAGTTCCTTTTCAATTAAATAAGGAAAAATACCTGCCAAGGCTTCATTACCATAAAGAAGCCATGTGCCAATACTTTGGGTATATGTAGCTTCAGCTTTCAGCTTCATGTTCATTGAAGTGTCTTCAGCTGCAGTGTCACATAGAGACATCTCTGATAGTGATGTAATGTCACATCACAAACATTAAACTTGTGTGTCAGTAACTGCTTTAGCTTACTATTTTTTGCTGATGTTAACAGGCTCTCTGTTGGTGAACTGGACCGTATTCTCTCCTCATCAGAGTAAATTGGGTATTTAGCTAAGCTAACAGGCACCAGTAATAATTTTTTAGAGAAAAGTTCTGAAATCCCTCCCCTGGTAGAAAAATCAGCATAGACCAGTATAGACCAACGTGGCTGGTCACTAGCAAAACCAGCAAATCGCTACTGTTGGAACAAAACCTCATATCTCCAAAATGACAACTTTAAAGAAGAAGGAAAAAACATACATTAGTTTTAATGTAAGTCAATGGAACCAGACATGTTTTCAAATAATTTTGGGTCATTTCTTTTAGTCCATTGTTCATTGAGGTTACACAGAATATAAAGCACAAACACATTTTCAAATTAGGTCAAAAACGGACATACAGGGTTTTATCCCGAAAGCGCTCATATGTTGTGTTTTGGATGCAAGTCTGCTGGTCAGCAGCGATGGAAGTTAATATGTTGGTCACTAGCAAACCCAGAATATGTTATGTTTTGGTCAACATGGTCATGCTGGGTGACCAACTAAACCAGCACCATACCAGCATAAATCAGTTCAAACCAGCTTAGACCGTGGAAGTCATGCTGGTCTGTGCTGTTTATTTCAGCAGGGAAATCCGAACTGTAGCGTCCAAAGTAAAGAATCATTTACTTAAATGTCTGAGTTTCGAAATTCTGTGGTTAATCAAGAAAACTGCTATAAAATGTAAACATTCACCACCGTTAGCTAGATGCTGACATAACATGTAAATTCCTATTAGCAGGCTAGAGGAAATTAGCATTATCTTAGCAGAGTTAGCATGTAAACAAAAGCTACCTTCAATGTAAATTACACTATTTCTGCATTAAACATAGCTGTTTAATGACAAGCTTGGCCTACTCATGATTTTGTGACTGTATCTGGTCTTTCAAAACAAGCTTAAAAATTAGAAACACATAAGGTCTCTGTATACTGTGCTTTGCAGCAGCCTTGGTTGGGCTCACACAGAAGTGCTACACCACCTACCCCACTTTCTGTTTCTAAATCTAATGTGAAGACCTTGTATTCATCCCTTCACTGCTACAATAAAACTTATTCATATTACTGCAGAAAGAGACCAAGTATAGAAGGAATTGGGAGTAGAGTAGGCCTTGTCAGTAGGGGTGCTTTTTAGAGAAATCACTAATCAGTCAATTGAGGTGATTTAAGACAATATTAAATCGTTCACAGTGGTGGTGATAGAACCAGACATATGAAGTGTTTAATGCCTCTAAAGTCTCACTCACAAAAGGCTATTAAACAAAATGGTTACAAAAACATTGTATGATGCCCAGGCATAGTTTTGAGAAAGTTTGGGCATAAATGTCTTATCTAAAATCTATTTGTGGTGGAGGGGCGGCACGGTGGCGCAGTGGGTAGCGCTGTCGCCTCACAGCAAGTAGGGCCTGCCAAAGACAGGCAGTCAGGCCAGTTGGACATGCTAAATTGCCCCTAGGTATGAATGTGTGTGTATGTATGTCTGACTGCCCTGCGATGGACTGGCGACCTGTCCAGGGTGTATCCTGCCTTCCGCCCAATGACAGCTGGGATAGGCTCCAGCACCCCACCGTGACCCAGAAGGATAAGCGGTTTAGATGATGTATGTATGGATGTATTTGTGGTGGAGAGGTACCTGCAGATTTTTCAGATTTGCCACTATTTTACCATTATCAACATTATATATTAAACTCTGAACACATGTGTAGGTTCACTGGCCATTTTGAATAGTTAATAAAATGGTTATGTTTGTGTTGTAGATGCTGCCACCCCTGGTTCCTATCACTGTCACTGTATTTCTCTAGAATGAACCACTTCACATCAACCCACTCTGACTTTCTTTATACCTCAATTATTGCAGAGATTGGTGGCATTCCCCTTTGTGTGAATGTGGAAATGAGGGTCTCAGAAGACCTGTAATGCTGTGTAGCACCAGCAGAGGGCCCTACTGACTTACCCAGATCACTATGTCATGCACATACAGTATTTGCTTCACCCAGCCAAACTGAAAGACTGAACCTCTTTCAAGTCTGTACCCAGAGCAGACAGCGTAATCTCTGTGAGCTGTAATCAGTAGTTAAAAGATGTTCGCTGTTTTTAACCCATGTTGGTTTTCAAGCAAACCAATTTGTCAGTCATTCACTGTACACAAACAACTGTCTCTCCTTGAAGACACCAAAAGTTTATTTTAGATTGTTTTAGAGGCTGAACTTTTGTGTAGTCTGGACATTGTTTTAAACACCAGTTTGAGACAAAACAGACATAGACAGACACAATATTGATGAGACTGTTGTATATTTCCTTCTTCTTTGGGGGGAAAACCCTATTTCTGAGACTAACCACAAGGTGGCACCTGTGATGCAATGTTATGGCGACAGTGAAGGCTTTTTTTTTTTTCCCCTCATCACAGAATCTCATTTAACTTCCAAGCTTAAAGTCACAGGCAGGGATTTTAGAAGGACAATGCTTGGGATGTCAAAACATTAAAGCAAATCATGTGACAAATCATATCATGCCTTGCATGGAATATCTGAATGCCGAATTTCATTTCACGTTATATGTTGTTGGGAGGGGGCTTTGCACATACACATTTACCATTTACTTTACAAATATCAATGCTGTTTTATGATTGGTACCATCTTTATGACTCAAATGAAACGGCAAAAATGTTCGCCAATATTCTTCAAACCTCTTCTTGTGAGAAACACACAGTATTTTTGGAAAGAAGCTCTTCATTTCATCGCTGTCCAAGTATCTGTACATACTAGTAAATGGACATACTTTTTTTTTAAGCAACAATTTGCATTTGGAATCCAAGGTATATGAAAGATGCCATTTATTTAGCAAAAAAAGAAAATTATTTTTATGTATTTTCACATATAGTCATACCAATAATCATTCAGACAGAGATAAGATGCCAAGTATAGGGCTCAAACAAAACGTATAGAAACTGCCTGGATATGTTGGATCTAAGCAGCTAGATGCTGTACCTGACCATAGCTTGACTACAGCCCTGTTTATACTCAGTATTAAAAGTGATCAGATCACAGGTGGACAGTGAAACTTATAGCTGTTAACACCCTGCATTTCCATGGGTCTCCAGTTACCAGTAAGATCCAGTTTTAAGACTAGAAGAAGAGTATCACACACATTTATCATGTCAGTCTCTCGCTGAGTTTGTCTCTTAAATAAAACTTTAAACTAAGTCACTTTGTCACCGTCAGTAAGGCTTTAACACTACGCATGTTATATGGTCCATGTGACCACCTACGAAGGTTTGAGTGAAGGGAACTCTCCAAGATTGCACTGGACTTCATTCACACCTGTACATACTACTGTCCACTGATCAGATCACCCACGACCTATGTTAACGCTAGGTGTGAATATGCTATAGGAACATGTATATCCAGCCATGCTTCTACAGACACCCTCTTGAAGGATTGTAAAGCATGGTTGGAGGTACTGACTATAGAAAAGAACGGTAGAAGAGAAAGATGTCTGAGGGGAGGCTTGTATCCTACCAAAACAAGGTTCGTTAATGGTTTAGCAAAGGCAATGGTTCTATATAGAACCATGAACACACTTAAAGAACCATTTTATTGCACAAATGGGTCTTTGCATGGTCAAACTGATTTTATAAATGGTTCTATAAAGCACTATTTTTGTTATGAGTCAAAGACCCTTTTTGCTAAGAGTGTACACATTTTAAGTAGTCCATTCTTGTGCTACATGTAAAGGCAGCAAAGTGATCTCCGAGAGCTTCATATTAAAATGTACAAGCTAGTTGAGGATATTCCAGTCTATCCGCTAAAATCTATGCAGATACACTTTTGAACAACTGGCCTTCAGGGATTGCAGTAAAACATATCCATAGCCTCTATGAGCACTGATTTGTTTAGCCTAATAAGAAGAGACAGACAAAAGCCTACATGACCTGATGACTGACCTGATACTTATACTAGAGCACAGGCATGGATTAGTATTAACGTAGCCCATATCCTATTCTGCTGACCAATCACATATGCTAAGCTGCGCTTTCCCGTCTCACCGTACCCACTGGAAAGAGAGAGGTTCCACAGGTCGGCCGGAGTGCACCAACAGCAGCAGCCATGAACTTCACGGAGGGTCCCGATTTCTTTGTACCCATGTCCAATGAGACGGGGGTGGTGCGGAGCCCCTACGAATACCCACAATACTACCTGGCTGATCCATGGGTGTTCTACATGATTGCAGGATACATGTTCTTCCTCATTGTCACCGGCTTCCCCATCAATGCTCTCACTTTCCATGTTACCATCGGGCACCAGAAGCTGCGGACGCCGCTCAATTATCTCTTACTGAACCTGGCCATGGCCAACCTCTTCATGGTGGTGGGTGGGTTTACCACCACCATGTACACGGCCATGCGTGGATACTTTGTCTATGGTCATGCTGGCTGCAACACAGAAGCATTCTTTGCCTCCCTGGGTGGTCAGGTCTCACTCTGGTCACTGGTGATTCTAGCCGTGGAGAGGTGGATGGTGGTCTGCAAGCCCATGAAGAAGTTCCGCTTCCGCCAGTTCCACGCCTGCCTTGGGGTTGGCTTCTCCTGGATGATGGCCTTCTCCTGCGCCTTGCCACCTCTGCTGGAGTGGTCACGGTACATCCCTGAAGGCTTGCAGTGCTCTTGCGGAGTTGACTACTACACCATAAACCCCAAACTCCACAACGAGTCCTTCATCACCTACTTGTTTGTTGTGCACTTCACCATCCCACTGAGCGTCATCAGCTTTTGCTACACCTGGATTCTCTGCACAGACAAGGCGGCGGCTGCTGCACAGCAGGAGTCCGAGACTACCCAGAGGGCCGAGAGTGAAGTCACCCGCATGGTGATCGTGATGATCATGACATTCCTCATGTGCTGGCTGCCCTATGCAAGCATGGCCTTGTACATCTTCACGCACCAAGGCATCACAGTCAGCCCCCTCTTCATGACCATTCCATCGTTCTTTGCCAAGAGCTCGACACTCTACAACCCAGTCATCTACGTGTGCATGAACAAGCCATTCCGGGACTGCGTGATTCGCACCATGTACAACGGAGAGAACCCCTTTGAGAAGGAGGAAGAGGCCTCCTCTGTGTCTTCCAGTTCAGTTTCTCCTGAATAAGCTTCACATCAAGCTCTGAAGCAACCCTGGTCCTGGAGTTACATTTTAGGTCCTGATTCTACATTTTAGGCTACATTCACATTACCAGGTTGAAGTGGCACAAATCCGATTTTTTGCCCTAATGTGACTCAGATCTGATGTTTTCAGGCCTGTGTGGACATGCAAATATGATCTTTTCAAATCCAACCTGAGTCACTTTCATTTGTGGTCCTAGATTGGATACGTATCCGATTCGTGGCCATGTGACCCTAATATGAACATTCAGATCGGAATTTATGTGCTTTTTTTCCCACTGCACGTGCGCCATCATTCAGCGTTACCATGGCAGCAGCGCCGAACAGAAGTTAAAGCTTGTAAACGGTGGACATGCAACACATCTCACCTTTTTCACCAGCTGAGAGCTGATCAGAGTAAATTATCTTCACAGGGAAGGCTCATTCTTACCGTTAGTCTGTCTGCTGATGATGCACGTCATGCGATTCATTCATGTGACGTTACCGAGTAAGATGTGCGCATGTGGGTCATTTCAGGACACCGGTTTGTTCACATTAATGACAGATTTGAATCACTTACCTAAACGTGTGAACGTCAGAGAGATCGGATTTGAGCAAAAAATCGGATTTGAGAAATGAGGCTTGTAATGTGAACATAGCTTTAGTGGTTTCTCTTTTCTAAAACCACTCAGGATGGGCTTGCAAATTAGTGGATTAGCTGGGTCGATCGTGTTAGAGCAGGAAACACCAGGACTAGGATAAAGAGCCACTGGGGTAAAGTTTTGAGGAAGATGATTTAATGTAAGATGTTACTTGAGCACTACATTCAACCACTCAGCCTGCCTGCATTCCACCACAGCTGCCTAAAACTGTACAACTTAGTGAAAGATGTTTTTTTCCTGTGCATATTGTATGGATCTACCTTGACAGAAGAGGAAAGAAATGACCATGACCATGCCCTGAATTAATTCCTGTTCCTCCAAACAGGTGGATTAAGCACGGATGGAAGGTTACACGGAAATGGAATGTTTTACTGCTTGTAAATATGCTTAATTCATTGTGAGGAAAATGGAGATTAGCACTGACACTTAGACTCTGCTCTAGCTGTGATTTTGTAAGATAACCTAAAATTGCAGATTAAATTGAAAGTAGTGCATAAGCAACATCTCTGACTTTTGAAAAGTCACTGTACAGTATGTTATCTTGGGCCATACTTGAGCGCTCAATATGTTCCCAAGGTCATCTTGCATAAGTAGATAAGGCTAATCAGGGAATCGGGGCTATCAGATCAGTGCAGGTGGATCTGAATAATGATAACACTGGCGCAGACTGGCTGTAGTTAAAATTGTTAGATAACATATTTCAGTGGGGTTCTGGAAAAATTGGTGCTTTTTTAAGGATCCCCAACTAAAAGAATTTCACTAGTTTCCATTTGCACCTCAAGTTCAATTATATTCAATTATACATTTCACTTGTAATCTATCATGTTCTTTTTCTAATTCACCGACTCCTGCTACAGCACAAACATGCTTCTAAGGGATATTTGTTTGTCAGCAGTGTGCTGAGAGAAAAAAAAAGCTTTTCTTCACTGCTAAATGCATTCCAATATTGAAGACACATCCTGGCTTTGAAATGAAAAGCCAATTAGAAGCATTTTACACTCAACAGATGATGAACTCAAAACCATGGAAAAAGCATTCTCATACAGATCATGCAAACAAGGTGCAATTGCAGATTTTTGCTCATAGCAATATGACAATCAAAGCAAATGAGGGGAAAATAGGGGGATATTTACAGACTATCCAGCAAGATTAAGGCTAGGACCTTCTTATTCAGTTTGCCACTAAATTTGCCACTAAATTTGCTTCATAATCAGTTATTTATTTGCCTAAATGATTCCATTCCTGTGTTTAGGAATCATTTCATTTGTTTCATTTGTATTCATCATAGAAAATTGAACCCTTGAGCATTTTGATATTGTTATTTCCCTCTTAGAACCAGTATTGACCTGAGCTCATTGATTCTTTTTGAGTTTTCATATGCAAACGTTTGGGTGCCCCTGATCAAATGACAGTGATATTCTAGTTAAAACAAGTACACAACCTCTACAGAGAACACACATCTGCATATGCACAATTATCATTCATTTGGTGAATGCAACATATTGAGGACAACAAACAACATAAAAAGTGGTATGTGCAAAAGTTATGGTACATTTCTGATTTTAAATTAGTTTTATAATATGTTAAACTCTGAAATGAGCTAAAATTAGCAGAAGCGGCATATATGAGTTTGTTCCCTGTAGAGAGACTTTCAAAGAGATGTGTTCAAACTCAGTCAGCACCTGCAATACTACACAAGGAATGCTATTGCTAAATGAAGTTATTCTAAGTAAAACCTAAGGCAAATTTAATTGAAATTCCAAGGGAAAAGCAAGGCCATATTACTTGATGGAGCTAGTTATTGGTAGAGGACATGTGATGGATATTTCTTGCCTATAAATTCTTTTGTCATGGAAACAAATAGCCATAGAATTACTAAGGCAAAATGGTGTTCAAGTTGCTATAGCAACACTGATGCCTCTGATTCTCCTCCAGACTACAGATTTCATAGAGCCAAAGTCTCCATTTAGTCCTCACATACATACATACAGATAGATAGATAGATAGATAGATAGATAGATAGATAGATAGATAGATAGATAGATAGATAGATAGATAGAGACAAAGCAGCTTTGTCTACTAACATGAAAGCAAGATGTTACATACAAAATTACTTTGAAAACCCAGAGGGCAAAACTGCTTGCCTTCATTTTGCTATTCGCTCAGTGTATGCTAGCAACAGCTTTGGCTATTCACTCAGCACTAACAGTGTGAGGCATGGTTGCAATACAAGTGTTGGACTGAGAGGCTCAGAATAACTCAAGGTCTCCCGTGTTCTGTACAGTTCAATATGGGTATAGTAATTAAACTGAAACCACAGTAACAGTTAGACTGCAGTATATTCAAAGTCTGTTTTTTTTCCTGTACCTGGTTGCTTTGGTCCGCTCAGTCAAGCAATCAGCACGTGGTCACTTGCTATTAATGCATGGGGCCCTAATTGAAATCAAAATGCATTCCACATGAACCGTTTGTTGTTCGGACTCGGTGGAAAAGCTCAGCTCAGGTGCATGTACGAGAAAAAAAACAGCCCGGGCTGACCACCTGTCCAACCACAGCCTGTGATGTCAAGGTAGAAAAGGATGCAGTACAGCAGTGGTGATGGACAGGAGCTGGAGTTTGAGGTCGTAACTCATGAAGAATGAGAAAAAGTGGAAACTTCAAAAGAGCGGCGTTCTGGCCAGCATGCTATCCCCCTCAAATGTCAATAAGAAATTCCTCTTGAAGTCATTTCTGTACTTCCATTCTGTCCTAACTACTGGTTTCACCTACACCTACTGTTTGTGTATAGTTACTGTACATTTGATTATATTTTGTACATTAGTTTAATGCTTTTACAGCACATTACAGTTCTCTTTAGTACCATGTTAGGAAGTGATCTTGATTTTGTATTTGGAGAAATTCATCATTTCAAGGATCAACTAATAAAAACATTCGATTTGACTGCATTATTGACTGCATATACCATAACTGACAGTTTCATCCTCATTACATTACTTTATGTTCATTTCAACATCAGTACCACCTATTTGTTGGACCTTTTTAATGAAGTTTGGCCTGGGGGTCTCATCACAGTTTGTTTGCTGATTGACTGATGCACACCGTGGTTACAAACCATGGTTAAATATTAGTTTAACTGCTAGTCTTAAATGGTCACAATAAATATGACCATACAAAGAGCTCAGAAGAACCCTCAGACATTCTGGGCCTCCACTCTTTCCTATGATTTGCCACGTGATTGGTTGCTTCACAGCTATTTTGAATGAGTTTTATCTTTGGCATTTTGCTGTTGTGCTGCATTCACATGTTTGTGTCAAAAAATGTGTACCTCTATGAGGTCTTTCTGCACCTTATAGTGGTAAATGGCTGACGGCAGCATGAAGCCACACAAATGTTGCCATGGTGACTGAGGAGCTGGCAAAAACCAATGATTATTAGAGAGCTTCAGCAGTGTAGATTGTTTATTTAAGGTGGAAGATGCAGAAAGATGTTCTGTACTCTGTATTTTCTTAGTACAATACTGGGTTCATCTGGAAATCAACAATGAGATGTTTGGCAACCACGGCTTTACAAAAGAAGAGAAGGGAAAACTGAACCTCCATTCACCGCTGCAGTTGTGGAATGTTGCCACTTATGGTGGCAGAATTTTCTATTTTGGCTCCTTTGAAAACAATGGAATATTTGGTTTGCTAACGCCCGCAAAAATGTGAATGCAGCATTAGATTGTACATTTATAATAATTAAGCAATCGGTGGCATGTTATTTAGGCTATTCATTAATTTGAGGGATTTCTGTACATGTATGTGTTGTCCATGGTCTCTCATGCACTGTGCCGGTTAACCGCCTGGTCCTGCAAACGACACCGAAAATTAGCCTCCCACTGCAAGTTATTTTGGTGGGTCCAACAGATCTCTAGTACCAAACTTTAAAAACTTTTAAATGTCCATGCCTAATCTAGACCAGCCAAAAGATTTTCTTGGAAATCCCCGTTAGTTTAGGGCTAATGTACTGCTAGAACCCTATAGGGGTGCTTGCAGAAATTAGCATTATCATGTAGGTGTTTTGACCGACTTTCAATATGTTTGGCCCAAACTGAAAGCCTGGCACTAATAGTCTCGGTTCTCCACAGATAAACAGCTTGTTTTGATTGTCAAGATCCGATTAAGATTACATCTGACCTACATGTGCCATTTAAAATGTGGCACAAGCTGATTGACCACATCATTTAAGATACATTTGAACGTGTGAACACTTTGATCACACCACTGACTCTTATACAGGGTTTTTGTAACATTTTGAGCAAAAACATTACACAAAACAAAAAATTAAGAGAATATGTAGGCATGCA